TCCGGGGCCGCCTGAGGGGAAGAAGGGAGTCCTGGGGCTTCTCTGCCCCAGGCTGCTTCACCTCGGCTCGGCTCAGCCCAGAGGGCCGCGCTGGCCGCAAAGGCAGCAGTGAAAAGCCCCGGGTGCCCGGGCGGCGGTGCCGAGCAGCTGGGGCGGGAAGATGGCGGCCTGCAGTCCCCTCACGGGCAGCGCGCGGGTGGGGCCGATGGCTGAGGAGGACGTTCCCCATGCTGTGTGTACCGGGGCCAGCCCGACTGAGGTGAGTAACATGGGGCTCTGCCCTGGGGCCTCCTGCCATTTCCTTGCTGTGCCCCGTGTCCCTCCAGCACTAACCCTTGTGGCATTGGCCTGACTGGATGTGGCAGCAAGGTGCCCAAGGAAATGGGGGTCCAACTCAGATTTCTGTTTTCTTCTGGGGACTGCACCTCTTGCACCGGTATCCCCTGCATTATCACTATGACCATGACTTCCAAGGAGGGACACAGGTCCACTGAGGAGCCTCCTCTGTGGAGAGGTCCAAATTGGTGCTCCATGAGGTGCCGTGAGGGGACCCACAGGCCTCCATCTGCCCGCCCCGAGCACCTGGGGCTTTCCACTGCAACACCTGGTGTGTTTGGGGCCTGTGGGTTTTTAGCTGAATTTACCTGAGTTAGAAGATGCTGCTGGTGCATGTGGGCGGTACCACAGGTTCAGTTGCTGGGAGAGGCTGCGCTGGGAGCAGGCACAGTCCCAGCCCTGTGACTGCTTAGTCTGTTAACGCTGCCATGGGGTGCTGAAAATCCTTTGTGGCTCAGTGTGTCCAGAGAGACAGAGCAACTGCTGACTTTGGTTTTGCTCCCATGAGGAGGCAGGAGGGCTCCTGACTGCATCATTAAGTTTTGGCACATGGAAGTTTAAAAGCCTTTTTGGCATTATTTGCACGTGTGAAAAATGTGACCAGCCATGGCACTGTGATAATGAATTGCACTGAGTGCAGAGTGATTTGTGTGCCATGGCAGCACGTCTAATCCATAAATCCAGAGCCTGCATATCTTGCCTTCTCCTGGCTCTGGAATCTGCATGTCACAGATGCTTTCTTGCTCTACAACCCAGTGCAGGATCTGCTGGGATGTTGTTGAAAGGAGAACTGGCTTTCATTCTGAAAGGACACTGTCCAAGAATGCACAGATGCTTGAAAGGGGAAGCAGTGGTGAAATATGGCAAACATAATAAACACAAGCTATTAAGCTGCTTTGCAAATAATTTTCTAGTATCAAGGCCAATCCAAGTCCATGCCATGCAGGGTTGGGCTGCCAGGCATGCTGGACAGTCTGCTGCCTTGCCAAAGGTTCAGATGCTTCCAAGCAGCTCCTTTCTCTGAAAGTTACCAGGTTAAAGAAGCCTGGGAGACAAGACCAAGGTGTTTGCAGTCTCCATGATGCAGACCTCCAGACCTGGGGTGTCTAAAAAGCACATCAGCACTTCCTAAGTGAAGGACCAAATGGTTGGTAGATGACATTGGGGAAGGCACTCTGCTTTTTTCTTCTTCTAAATGCCTTGTTTCTCAGTTGTCTTTATGGTGACTTCTGCATGCTTTGCAGAAAAAAAAGAAGACTTGAAAGCAAAGCAAGCTGATTTTGGAGCCTAGAGAATTTTAACCCATAATCCCACAGTCCCCATACCATATGGTGATAGTAGTTCTGTCTTACTTCAAGATTGCTGCAGGCCCTTGTTTATAGATTGCCTGGGTCCATGTGACCCTTGGTAACCTGCCCCTGTTCTTTTACTTACACTTTCATGGGTTCTGCACCCTCAGGCGTGCCATGGAAATACCACATCTGTACACACAGGCAACAACTCATTGTCACCCACTGCAGGGCTTGGTCACTAGGACAGGCCAGTTCCATGCAGCACTTGGAGGTTAGGCAGTGCTTGGGGATAGTATGGAGTGTGGCACATCCCTCTCATGCAGTCAGAGCTGTGTGCTGAGTGTGTACCCGAGTGAGAACTTTCAGTGGGTGCTTTGGTGGCAGCCTGATCTGGGATTTGTTGCATTGTTTACAAATTCTAAGAGGCATTTTTCTTGGTCATTAATATAAGGCTGCCTAGCCTTCTCTAAACCCCTATTTCTCTTCAGGATTGAAGCGTGAAGGGCATCCCCGAGAGAATGCCAAGAAAATAGTGTTGATTCTACATCATAGGACTTCTTATCTGTCTTAGGGTACATAGAAAAAACAAATATTTGAGAAATGTTTAGAAGTGACTTTTACTTTTTTCATGTCTTTATTTGCATATGGAAACAAAGGCTCCCTCAGGTTCATAGGCCTTATTTTTGAGGGCTTTAATGGAGAGCACAATTTAATTCAACAGGTTTCTGCAAAAGATTAGTTATCATGGGGAAGTGCATTGAAAGCAGCAGGTTGCAGTGTTTTGTTCTGAAGATAGTGTGTGTGTACATACTGTATGTCTAGGTAAAATTACATGCTCCCTGGAAGGACAGGATAGAGCACTACTGGAGGACATAAAAGATTTAAGTGTGTTTAGTCCAAAAAAACCTCCTCAAATTACCCTACAAATTAAATCTACAAATAATTTTTTTTCTATTTCTTTATATCTCATAGTCTGTTTTTGCTCTGAAATGTTTGTGACTATTGAGAATAGAATATGCTGGGAGGTATTTCTTTGTATTTCTACAGAGAAACATTAACCTGCAAGTTACAAAACCAAAACGCCAGGAATGCCCTCTGTGGATACCAAATGGTTCAGGCTGTGTAGCTGATCTGCCGTCCTCATCTGTTGCAGGTGATGATCACTTCTAACCTGCTGTCACAGCTGTTTGCTTCCACACCAGTGCCATTCTTTTTGAATGGGAGCAGCTGTGCTTGCTGAAGGAAAGTGTCTCCGGAGCCATTACAGTACTGACAGTCACTGGGGCTTGTACAGGAGAGGGCAGCAAATCGCTTTTAAACTCCTGTTTGCTTTGACTAGTAAAATACATATGAGATTTGGGTCTGGGAGAGGGTGAAGGCAAATGTGATGTCAGCCAGAGGCTGACAGGGATGCTCCAGACTTAGTCCCAAGCAGCAGGCATTGCTTCTTGAACCAGTAATTAGTAGGTAAAAAGCTCCTTTTCTTGTTGTTGTTTCAAAGCATCAGCCTGCAACAGAGAGGGGGAGGAGGTGGTCATTATGATGCTGTAGCCATGATGGAAATAGGTTGGTTCTCTGTGGGTGTTTAGTCTGATGAGCTTTGGAGGGTGGAAATCCATCCTTTGGCAGGTGGTAGAAAGAACCCTTGCCATCATCACCGAGTGGTGAGAGCAGTGGGTTTTCACTGATGTGCCTGTTGGAGATGGGAAGGTGCCCGGGCTGTTTTGTACCTTTCACAGGTGAATCTTCATATTGGGTCAGGAGGATGGGTTGGAGTTAAGTGCTCTCAGAATACCCCAGTGCTATGTAGGACAGAGGGCTCAAAATTGTTGGGGTTGGCTCTGTGCATCTGTGGGACAGAAAATGCAGAGGCTGAACAGGCAGCTGTGTAAGCACCCATGGAATTTAAATGCCCCTGCACTGGGAGGAGCTGTGGGGAGCTGAAATCTGGATCAAAGGACTGTGGAATACCAACACCTCCTGTTAGGACTCCAAGCCCTTGAGTTGGTTGTCTCTCTTAGGGTATGATAAGGGATGTGCCTGTGTTTGTGGAGCCTTTACCTCCAGCATTCTTAAGCTCACCAATGGATTATGTGGGTGCCCACTCTTGCTCTGCATCTCCATTACCTGATCTTTCAACACAGTGTTAGCAAGCTGTTTTTTTTC